TAAATGCAGCTAGCTGAGTGCTGACAATATTTGCTGAGAAATGCATTTTCAGACAAGTGCTGCAGGCCTAGGGCATGGCTGGGGGTGATGTCTTTCGCTCTTTCTTAGCCTCTCAGCCCTTAACCCTGTTTCTATCCTCAGCCATTGAAACAGAAATTCAGGAAAGCAACGAAGTACTCACCTCGAAGTCAGCCAGCCTGGCAGGCCTGGAGAAGAAGGTGGAAAAGATACGAGATTATATCAACAAACAAATCTCATACTATGACAGCTGCTAATAAATGAACTTCTGGGGCTCCATCTCACGGGGTAATTGCACTATCTGCCTTCTGCTCAGACACTGTCTGGTGTGTCTATCCCCATCTCCTGGCTGAAGTTTTCTTGTTCCCAAAGTATCTGTTTTTAGTAAATAGAATCACTTTACCAAGGGGTGGGGGAGCTAGCACTGAGCTAAAAGAGTGAACCCCTGGACAGAATTAATGTTTGGTCTGACTGAAGCCATCCAATGGCTTGAGAAAAGGGAAAGGCTTTTTTTTTTTTATTTGTAAGGGAAGGCAGATTAATCCTGCAGGAGATTCACAAACCAAAATGGGGGAGGTTGTCTGGTTTCAGCCACTGGAGTTATTTTTTTACCTGGACTTCACCTTTCGAGTTAATCGTCACATGTGGCCTTTTGTAACATTTTAAACACACTATAATTTTGTCCTTTGAAAAGAGAGGTAGCAGGGGCAGGAACAAAGCCATCACTAGATTTAAGGACATGCTCAGGAGTGGGTAATTTTATCAGCAATCAAATCAACAGTTTTGCAAATAAAAGCACTAGAACTTGGAACTCTTGGCCTGAGTTAAAAATGTCTTGTTTGACTTCCTGCCACAACCTGCTTATTTACAACCTAGCGCTTTGCAGGTAGCCAGTCTGCATTTGCAATTGGAATTGGACTAAAGGGATTTAATAGGTCATTTCCATCTCTAATTTCTATGAATAACCAACAGGCACTTTACAAAACAAAAGTCAGCTTTATTAAGCACAGTATTTATTGCACAATTACAGACTTGGAAGCAGGGAATTCAGACCTCGCTGCAGTTATCTTCAGACATATGGAGAATGCTAGTAAGCTCTTGCCTTTTACAGCTTAAACAAAAACTGCACAGCCAAGGCAGGGAATTGATACTGGACTTAAAATTACTGAAGCTTGGGAATAAAAAGACTTCCTAGCAGGAAGGGTCACAGGCTGCAAAAACGACCCAGACGGCAATGACTAGACCTCTGTATGGCTTTGGTTTACATGACTTTTGCTGTGCAGCACACTCGTTACACATTGGACGACTACACAACACACACAGGACAAAGCTGTAGCACTGTGTAATACACTGAGAAGGTGCTAGCAGAAGCATCATGCCCACACACCTCCCTTTTCCTAAAACACCTTCTGCACGTATTCATGATCCAGATGCACTTCAAGGTCATTGCATTGAAGAAATCTCAGGACTACATTCAGGCAGCTCGCTGATGAACGGCCACTGCCCTGAGAAAACTGCTCCCCATCTGTTGCTGGCAGGATCCGGTCTCCTCTCTCTCTGCTTGCATTATTGATGTCTGGCTCTGAAGCACAGAAAGAATAAAACAGCCCTTCTGTTTCTGAATGGGAGAGAGAATTCAAAGTAACTGTTTAAATGGTTTCCCTGGACAAATGCTACCTCCCCCTTAACACACCCACTGGACATAGGAACTGCTCAGTTCAACTTTTTAATCTTTCATGAGCAACAGATAGAGGATTAATCATATCAGTCAACCTTCTGAAGGCTCTAACGCATGTTACTATGCCTATATTATCTAGTAATCCCTTATTAAAGTGGAGCTGCATAATCGCAGCAGTAGAAGGTGTCCTTGGTGATCACAAAGCACGACTGACTTAACATGTGCTGTGCTCGGGAGGGGAGCTGACCCTGCTGACGATCACCTTTGGGGAATGTTCTTTCATGCAATGTTCAACAGTAAGGCTTCTGAGCGCTCCCGGACTGCAGCGCAAGCCTTATCCACTCAGCTTATCTGCAGTTAATCTCATCTGCGCTCAAAAAGCGGGAAAGCCACTTTCCCGAGTACATGTCTCTGCTCCTGCTGGGTGGTGTGTGCCAGCAAGAGAGCCGATTACTGCTGACAACTTGTCACATGGACACATTCCCATGTACTCCCCCCCCAAATCACGTTTGTCCAAGCCTTATGGTCAATGGGCTCCTGTCAATGCCTGGGTTTGCCAAGATGGTGAATGACAGCTGAATGGCCCCTTATCCAGCTCATGGAGTTGTCCTTTTCCCTGTGTGGCAGCTGAAAAGTATGTCTGTGTGATAAAAGT